GGGGGGGGGGAGGAGAAAAGACAGTGGCTGCCCCAGACATAAATCAGGGGGAAGCCTGCGCTTGGGCGAGGGCCCAGCTGCGAGACCGGCCTGTTGACGACTCCAGCAGGGCTGCACCGGGCTCTGCTCGGCGGTCGCTGCGCCCTGGGGTTGGGCGATACCCGCAGTGGGGGGAACCCTTCTCAGCACCCGCTCCCGGGGCCAGGGCTGCAGCCTGACATCAAATCCCGAGGCGGGACATCCATTAACTCTGCGGGAGCCACGGCACCCACATCCACCTCGCTGTCTGCATACGTGGCCCTTGCTCCGGGCAGCGAGAGGAGGAGGAGGAGGAGGAGGAAGACTTCAGCAAGAGTTTCAGATCCTGGCGTGAAGTGCTGTCACCAGGGAAAATCAATAAGAGATTCCCACCTGGTTGCCTGGGGCCAGGTTTTGTTCCCCATCGTTTGAATGACTAGAAAAGGCCGTGGCCAGAGAAGTGCTTGTTGCCTGTCCCTACAGCTTGGGGGCTTACCTGTCCTCCCAGTTCTCCCCATTTTATACCAGTGCATTTTACTGGTATATTGCTCCACACCAGTGGATTCTATGCACTGGTAGACTCCACGTGCACGTGCACCCACACACCCATTTATATCAGTGTATTTTACTGGTATATTACTCCACGCCAGTGGATTTTATGCACTGGTAGACTCCACACTCATGTGCACCCATTCACGCATCCTCGGCCACTTGGGGACCAGCGCGGGGAGCCCCAGGCACACACCCTGGGGTGAATTGGGAGCCATGCCGCTGCTGTCAGGGGATTTATTGTCTCTCTAAAGAGCGAGCGAAGGGAGCTGGGACACACCTCTGCCCCAGCACCAGCCTTTGGCGGGAGCCCTGTGCTCTGGGCGTAGCACAAATACTCGAGCGTGAGCAGCGCCGATGGGATGAGACGGGGTTTTCAAAAGCTGCGAAGTGACTTAGGAGCACGAGTGCGATTGACGTGAATCCTGCGGTTCTGAAGTCACGAAAGTGCCATTCTTCATTGTCCGGGACCGCGATTCTCCTCTCCCCACAACAGCCCGACAATGAGGAGCATGTTCAGGGCTCACATCCTCTGTGCTATTGATAGCACGGCCGAGCTTTTTGGAGCGTGGGTCCCATCTGCCACTTCCACTCCTTTTTAAAAGATCCTAATGACTGTCAGATCCTTTTAGTTCTTAATTAATTTCAGAGTTCAACTGCAAATAGGAAACAAGGCAGCTTTTGCCCTTACGCATATGAATATTACTGTTCCATTTAATGTGGTTACTGGTGGAATGCTGTTATTCATTCCTGCCTGCAATAAAAGCCACATGTTTTTAAAACTTTGCACTTGAAAAAACTTTTAGGAAAGAAATCAAGTATGTTTTGTATGCATGGCATGAGATAAAAACTAGTCATAAATATTCAAAGAACAGTTAGAGCTTTATGCTTGATTTAAACAAGTGAACAGAGAAGTACGACGGTTGAAGTGGAGAATGAAAGCCCAATGCTCCTTTAAGAATGTGCTTATGCAGAGAAAAGGAACTATTCATGCAAAGGTTATGGAGCACCTAAGGACATCCCATCTCCTCCAAAAATGCCCAAAGGTGGATAACACAACTGGAATCATTGGGCTTTGTTCAGAACTATTCGAGTGCATGGGAGTTTCTCTCTCTTCAGGGGTTTCGGAGGAGTTTTAGGGGGGTGTGAGATGCCTCCTGCCAGACCCTGTGGGAAATGAAGACTCTTCTTGCATGGAGACATCTCCAATGTGTCCGCTCCCCACGTCGGAAGGCAGATGATTGAAGTTTTGATGAGCATTTTTGGGAGCTCCCTGGACTCCTGGACAGACCTTCCCTGGAGCCACCAGAGCCCAGCACAGCCAAAAAGCCACGAGGGAAGGGACTGAGCGCCGGGCCCCAGGGCAGTGCCTGTCCCACGGCCCTGCCGACGGAGCCCGGGGCAGTGTCAAACCCTTCAAAACCCAAAACGCGACAGGGGGAGAAATAAAAAAAATTCCAAAGGAAAGAAAAAGGGGAAATGTCTGGATGGTGGAAAGAGGAACCGAAAGGCACATGACGACGAGAAAAGTACAACGGGGTGGACGCAGAAAAACACGATATGATTTCTAATTTTGAGGAGAGGCGGTTAGAGGAGTTCCTGTCGCAGAAGGGCTCTCAGGCAGAGCACCAAGGGCCAGGGCACAGGGAAATCCTCCCGCACGTGCCAAGCAAAGCCCTCTTGCAACACGAAGAGACTGCAGAAAGCGTTTTCTTGTCTGGGAAAATAGCTGTGCATTGGCAAAACTGCCCCATTGCTCAGCCCCATCCCCAGTGGGGTGGGAGAACTGACCTCTCGTCTCGTACGGTGGCTGAACATGCAACGGGGGTTTTCAGTTCTGTTCCCTACAGGCTCACCCAAAATGTTGGGGTGATGCTGGGTATCAAATGGGTGCCCAGTGCTCCTGTGCTAGGCTGAGGTTTGCAGGGCAACAGGGACCCTTGGGGAAAGGTCTTGCACCCACAGACCCAAACAGCAGCCGGGGTTCATGCTTGAGCCCTGGTGTGGTGAAGCATCTATACGGTCCTGAGCAAGGCTGAGCTGGGCTCTGACTGAGGATCGATCCCTTCAAGGAAGTCAAATGTGAAGAGAGAGAAAATGAGCTCTGGAAACCTCTCACGTTCCTGCATGCTCGCCTACCTCCCTGCGAGGGGCACCCGGCTCTTAGAAACCTCAGCCAAAGGTTTCTCTGCTTCAGGGCTGCAACATCTGCAAAAACCTCTCGGATGTGGGAGCAGAAATGGGTGTTTGTCCCCCCCGAGAGGGCAGGAGGGGTCTGGCAGCTGCCTGCGACGGGCAGTGGCGTCGGACAGGGAACTCTGGTTTCCCTTTTCGTTCAGGTCTGGTAGAGCATCTTAGGGTCGTGTCTCAGCAAAAGCAGCTTTACAGGCAAGCACACTGTATCTGCTTAACTTCACTGTGGGACATCAGTATGGCAAAGGGAACCCAGCCTGGTCACCCTGAGGGCACCCCGCTGATCTGGGAGCCCTGGACACCCCTTTAACCAGACCGCCCACAGATGTGCTCTCCGCAGTGGCTGTTGTTTGCATCTTGCTCCCCAGAGGATGACGGGGTGGTGCTGTCTCACGCTGCCTGACCACAGGGCAGCGGCGGTGCCTCGCAGCAGCTTTGCTAAATTTCCAAAGCCCTTCCTGGAATGTCCTTTTGTAGGAAGTGGAGAGTTTCCCCCCCCAAAAAAAAACCTCAGCCTTGCTGGGAGAGCCACTGGCAAAACCACAGTGGCCGGTGGTGACACCATCACGGGCATCTCCTCCCTTCCTGCCTCCGCCCCGAGGTGGTTACCCCATTTCTCTTGCCTGGGCTGAGCCCTGATGGAGGCAGAGCCGGCGGGTTGGGAGGGAGGCAGATCACAGGAGGTGCTTTATAAACGCGTGGTTTATTAGATGTGCCTAATCCACCAGCTTTCATCCACGCGAGGGTTTTCCCCACCTGTCTGCGGGCAGATGAGCTTTGCAGAGCAGCACCAGCGCAGGGTGGCTGGTAGTTGTTCTCCAGCAAGAGAACGGTTTGAAAAAGCCCCCAAACTTGGTATTTAAGGGCAAAGGTTGGGGACGGGAAGAACGGGACCGATTGCAGCGATGGAGCCCAGCGAAGCTGCCAGGTCTGCACCGAGCCGCATCGCACAGAGCTGGAGAAATGCACCCAGGAGTCTGGCGGGGTGTTTCTCCAGCCCACCGCGATGCTGCTTGGTGTGGAGCTTGAGCGAACGGCCGGCAGTGCCCAGGGCGCCCGCAGGCAGCTGCCTGCTCAGCCCCGCGGGCAGATCCTACGGCTCCGCACTCCCCCCAGGCCCGCCTCACTCCTCAGGGCAGCTCGCCCATGAAATTGCGGGCACGCACGGCTCGTTGACTCTGCTTCATAGCTCAGGGCAGGAGATACGGACGGGGCTCGGGCTGGCTGAGAGCCCTTTTGCAATGCCAGTGCCGGGATCGCACCCCAAACATTTCTGTCAATGAGATGCATTGGCTGTTTTCCACAAAAAATAAGGTGCTGGGCAAGGACGCTTCCCGTGCGAGGTGTTTATCATCCCTATGGGATCAGTCCCTGATTTCTGCCATCGCCACCAGACTCGGTGGCAACTTGCAGGAGAAACAGTGAAGATCCTCCAGCAGTGACACGGAGCAACTTCAAACTGATGTCAACAACTCCCCTTACAGCAAAGTAACTCTGAGAAAACTGGCTTCTGGTTCCAGTTGCAAATTGTCCTGCAGGCCCACACCAATTTTTTCCAGGTTCACTGGCTTTTTGCAATTATTCACTACTTTCACTTCTATGAATAAATCTGGGCAATGCTGTTTTGCAACTGGGCTGCTTTGACTCAATGGGCTCCGGGTTGAGTTGCTTCTGCTCCTTCCTTGAATTATTTTTTTCCGGTGCAAACGTTTTCTTTCCTATTTGCCCTTCTGTATAGACTCTCACTGATGTGAGTTTGCCCGACATCCCCCACCAATAAGCCTGGTGGTTGCAGAGTCATTCCAGAAAACAAACCCCCGAGAGGGTTCAGCCTGTGGATTCACCCAGCACTTACGCATCCCTTTAGGCA